ATTTACATTCTAAAAGGAGTTATCTTATCTGCTATTTGCAGGTTTCTTTTAGTCTCACTGTCTGTTGATGTACTTATAATCTATTAAGCGTTTTTCCCAGTAGTTTCTAGACAATATCTTTTCTGTTTTGACTCCGTTTTGTTGTAAAAACAAAGATGTAGTAGACTCGAACAAGAAATAAGATGGAGCGATTTCAATGAAATACTCATTCTTCTATGAACTGTTATGAATGGAACCGATCTGACATTACCAGTGCTCCTTATTTTGAAAATAGCTCGCTCTCTCTAATACTCTATAGACACCTGCTGTCACATATTTATCGTAAAACTAAAAACTCTAATTTGGTAAGCATCATGAATAATCTCTACATTGATGTCTTTCGGATAAAATTAATTTAACAATTCATGTTTTTTATAGACAGATTTTCGTTGTTGTTGTACCTAGAACAAAGAAAATTAATATACTCACTATTGATAACAAATGTAAAAATAAACTATACCTGTTCTAACCATTTGGTTTGTTCATTTGAAACTGAGTCTAGAACAGTAGTTTGTCGTTGTCTTGAACTACTTGATGTTGTAGATTTATATTCTTCCAACGGACTACTATCTAACGTTAACTCATCACTAGCTTGCCGTTTAACTGTCGTTTTATTTTTAAATTTTGAATCGAGACAGAATAACACGACCATATATATGAAGAGGAGTGAAATTATAGCGATAACCAATATCACAACAATTTTCATTGTTAGAGTATTTCTCACTTCATATGAACTTGCGCTATTCACATATTACACGTCATAAGTGATTTTAAATTTATTAAATAGACATTAAAATAAGAAAAAATGGATGATTTCACTCAATAAAGGTTTTCACTATGTTTTTAAAACTTTTTCGAGAAACAACCATTACCACGAGATTCAGTGTCGCGATAATCTATGTTTTCGCCCATTTTTGGGATTAACACACCTACAGAACAATCGCTCCTGGGGCTCTTAGGAAACTCGATGCCACGCTTAAATTCCGAAAAGTGAAAAGTTTGCTTAGTTCCCATTTTGAACAGGATACTTTGAGCTAGTCATGGGAAAAAACAATATATTGTTCTGTCAAACTTTTGGGTTATGAAATGGTTTTCTATATAGACCCGTTAGAAAACTGTTCTTGAACAATAATTTTAAAAACTGTTTTCTTATGTAGAGCTGCTTTAAAGTCTTGGCTATCGAATATCGAAAACCGCAACTCTATCCCTTTTCGTTCACAAGTTAGTCGAAAAACACTGATCGGCATTCTTTTTCGAAGAAAATAATAATAGTAATAATGATCATATCGTTTATGAATTGTGGGTATACACATCGTAGACAGAAACTCATTGCATAACTTTGATTGGATATGAATTTGTCCGGATTGAATACCACTTGTTCACATGTACAATCACTTTTTTTCACAACATTAATATAAACACGACGTTGTAAATCAAGCTGACTTAAGTTTTTTGGATAACCTGGAACAACGGTCAACGGTGGACAAACACACTTACATCGATAATCATCTTCACTGAATACTGGAAAAACGAAATAGAATAATGACAACAGACGAAGTAGTTTTAATGACATTATTTTTTTAACTTTTTCAATATGTTAAAACACATGAAAGGAAAATATAAAATAGTTTACCTGTATACTTCAAAACGTTTGTGTTTTATTATCAAAAAGATAACAACACATGTGAAATAAAAAAATAGTTCCTGTCACTACGTGTTCATCTCTTGTTACAGATGCTCAAAGGTGTTTCAACGTTCACTCTTTACAAGACATGACGTCGACATGATTTGCCTCTGCTAATTTTGTAGTCTGTCTCAAGTAGCATACAGATCCATGACTAATTCTGAGAAAGTCATGTCTTTTTAGGAGACAGTGGATGACAGTACAAAATGCAGTTTTATGAGCTCTATTTAATGGATAAATATGTTTTCGAAAACATTAAGCTCAAATTGAAACATCCGTTTCCTAGACGAGATTTTTGAATGAACTAGTTTTTGTGATCAAGTGTCTTCTACAACTTGAGACCACTTCCAGCTCTTTGCGATCATTCCTGGTCGAGATATGAAATTTATAAAGTCTGTCATTCCCCGGTGCAAAATTCTATTTTTAAGTTTCGAAAATCTTCTATTTTCCATTTAACACTTGTAAATTTTATTCAAGCAGTAGTCTTATAGGGCAAACAGTACTCTACAAAATGAAACATCTCTCAGCTCTTCATAATGTTTCCTCCAAAAGTTATCAGCATTTGCCAAGAGTCCTTAGAAAAGTGACCTGTGTGTTGTGACGTTCCAGGCTGAATTCTCGACTCGATCACACTGTGCATTATATCGACTCTGTCGAAACTTTGTCCGTTCTAGTTCAGACGTGTACTAGACATCCACAGACTTGGGTGTTTGTCGATTTAGCTCTCCAGCACCTTTTCTTCATGAGGAGCGTTGGGAGCCTCAAAATCAAAATCCGGTTCTCCACAAAAATTCTTTTATAAATCCCCAACGTTACATCTTGGACCTAAATCGAAAAAACATCTGAGCGTATTGGAGCCTGGTACCTGCGTTAACATGTTGAGCTTGAACAATCAAACTTCCGATAGGATCGGAACGGTACTCAATGAAAAATCTGGTTTTCCGGGAAACCACACCTTAATGTAAATTCTAAGATTTTAGCAAAAAATACGCCTGTTTTATTTTTCGCGAGGATCTTCTGGTAAGAATTCCACCTCTTCTCAATCGGTCGTTACGATTTTGTAATAAGACAAGAAATGAGGAAGAATACCCTTAAAATCCATCTGAATCACTTGAAAATGTCAAAATTTACTTCGTTTTGACCGATACATATAAGTATCCCATCATCTGAAAATCGTGAGTTTGAAGCTATTCATTCTGTGATTCAAAGCGGAGCCAGTTTTGGTCAAAATTTGAGCGAATAACGGTATAGTAGCGATAAAATTGTAATAGCGGGATCTCATCAAATACAATCGTACGATAAACTAATAGTCTATTTCAAGAAAATCATAGAATCTTATGATTTACGAGATGGATTGTAGCATCGTGAGATCCTTCCAATGCGTCTTTTGTAGAACTGGGAAAATACTCTTAAATTATTGCGTTTCCTCATTTATACTTGCACTATTCAGTTCGAGTCATTTCAATATGCTAATCTTTCCACATCGATGATTGAACAACTTCTTCGCGCTTGTATTGGTGAGCAACAGTAAAAAAGAGGTATGAACTGTTAAAATAATTTTATCCGAAAGACATCAATGTAGAGATTATTCATGATGCTTACCAAACTAGAGTTTTTAGTTTTACGATAAATATGTGACAGCAGGTGTCTATAGAGTATTAGAGAGAGCGAGCTATTTTCAAAATAAGGAGCCATAGTCGAATCATTTAAAATGGTGATTATAGAAGACAACAGTTTAACGAGTATTACTGGTAATGTCAGATCGGTTCCATTCATAACAGTTCATAGAAGAATGAGTATTTCATTGAAATCGCTCCATCTTATTTCTTGTTCGAGTCTACTCCCTAGTGAAAGTACTCATACGATGAGTACGACTTTACTCATAATTCGTCCATGAGTACTCATATTGGTACTACTAACAATTTCTGAGTATTGTTACTCAGTGAGTACTCAGTTACTCATGTGA